CAAAATACTGTTCTTTTTAGCAGCATCATATGACCCCTTTAATGTCACTGAGGAATAAATCAAGAATGTAAATAAATTCATGCTGACATACCCAGTGGGGTCAGTGAGCCATGGTGGGAATACAGTTTCCTCTTTCTCAACACTAAAACATTTAATTAAATGAATTTGAGAGTAGTGTAGTAGTGATGCATTGTATGTTACCCAGCAACACATATCCTCCCTCCTCAGTGAAGTATGTCCCTGGTTCAGAGGGGCCCTCATAACAGGGTGTGACCCCAAAACTGTGGGAGGCAGAGGTGAGCCAGCGGCCATTCAGCTGGAGACTCCGCACACAGCCAGAAAAGCCAGACACAGACGTCCTCTACAGAAGTATGTATTTCATTAACAGTCAGTTTCATTAACATCATCACAAAATAAACTCAAACATGGTGATCAGGACCCAACACTAAGCATATAACACTAAAATAAATAAAAGGACATGTTATTAAAATATTGAGTTTTTTGTGATGTGAGTGCTATGACACTTGTGTAGACGCTGTCAAAATATTGATCTTTTAAGTAGGCTAATCTTGTGACTAAAAGGTGACATTGTATAATAAAACACTAATCTGAGAAGTGCAGAAACCTGGTTATCTCAGCTGGTAAAACATGTGACTTAATCTCAGGATTGTTAACTAAAACCATCTATTTTAAAACATTATACTTTTGCTCAAGATTTACCTACCCTTATGAAAAAGAAGTGCTGTATCTGCAGATGATATAATTTGAAAGAAATAAAAGGCCACTTCAATGTACTTAAAGAGAGTACACTTTCATGATCATGTTTCTTAACACACATAACTGATAACATAGCATAACTGACAGAAATGACATTAAAGTGTATTTTAGTTTACCATAAATGCCATTATATTCTATTTGCATGTAAGTTTATTCTTTTAAAGTATATTATTTCCATAATAAGTAGAGAAAATAAGTATGCATACAGTACTCTATTACTGAACAGTCAAGAGTGTGCTTGACAGCGAGG